TCCCTGACATCCAGGTAGCGTAAAGGTGAAGGGGGCCGTGGGACGACTGCCAGTGACAATCGTGTGTTTTCGAGGGCTCGGTAAATAGTCTGTCACGGGCAGGCCGGATGACGTGGTGATTTAGGGCCGGATCCTGAAAGATAACGAGGTGCTGTGGCCTTGGTATTTCTTTTTAAGAGAAGCTGTGATCTAGTTGTAATAGTTGCTGCATGTTTGTGCTGCTGCAGTGGTGCCCAGTGTCTGTGAACACTCTGAAACAGCTCTGGGAAAAAAGGTCAAGGTGTCCGGATGCTGTGAGAGGTTTTCTGTTATGCTTGAGACCCCGAGAGGGAAGCATTCAGTGGGTGGAGAAAGGGCTCAGTGGAAGCACACTGTAGGCCCCTGAGGGCACGTTGTTGGGCCATTGAGAGCTGTGCTGCCAGCCTTACAAGGACAGTTGCTTCAGCAGTGCTCTGCTGGCCGTGGTGTAGGCTCTGGGTCCACAAACACTAGAATTAAAAAGCGTTTGTGGAGCCCTTCAGTTCACCAAGGATAAGGTGGTACAGCTGTGGAAATGGTCCACAAGTGGTTCCAGGTTTTCTAGCCACCAGCTGGACTGTGCTGCTAAGGAAACCTATGTCAAAACTGCAGTACTGTGCACAGCTGTAGGCTCCCCAGTATAAGGAAGACAGTGCTGTACTGGAGCAAGCCTAGTGAAGGGCCACACAGGTGAGTAAGGGTGCCTGACCTACAAGGCAAGGCTGAGAGAGCTGGGACTCTTCAGCCTGGAAGAGGGAAAGGTCAGTGAGACCTCAGAAATGCATACGCAATATCAAATCAAATACCTGATGGGAGTGAATAAAGAAGATGGAGCCAGACATTTTTCAGTACTATGCCATGAAAGCACAAGAGGCAATGAGCTTAAACAAATATGTACGTTTTTTTATTTAAACAAAAGAAAAATTATTTACTGATACAGTAAATGAACACTGGAACAGGTTCTTTAGAAAGGTCATGGCATCTCCCATCTTTGGAGGTAATCAAAACCCAACTGGAAATTATCCTGAGCAGCCTTCTCTACTTGACCCTGCTGTGAGCAGAGGGACTGGACTAGCCAAAATCCAGAGGCCCTTTGCAGCCTCAGCCATTCTGTGTGTCTGTGGCTCTCTCATGGACTTGAAGCAATGTGACTTTG